ATTTTAATAGTTTAGATAATTATTACAAAGCCTAATAAAGTGAAGGCAGGACTGCCGAATGTTTAAAAAAAAAAAAATAATAATAATAAATATAGCTTTAGTAGCCTAGAAATAATAAATTTAATTAGCTAATGATTACATAGTTGCATTTATAAAGGGAGTTTTTATAAATAGACCAGACAATTAGCATATAATTGCAAAAATAAAAAATATATATTTATCTATAAGTTCTATTATAAGGCTAGTCTTCTACTATATATTTAGAAAGGGTTTGCATTTAAAGAAGTTGCATTTAGAGAGATCTAACTGTAGTATTTATCTATTACACACCAATTTTAACCAAATACAATTTCAAATATAATTTATTACTTTATATAATTACAAAATTAAATAAAGTTATACAAATATAAAAATAAATTTTTAAAAGCTTTTAAATTTTATCTAGCCAGGTTATAAAAACCAATTAATTAATTTTACGTAACCTAAAATCTTATTTATTAATTTTATTATTAAAATATCATAAAAAATAATGTTTTGTATTTTTTTAAAAATATATATCAAACAAAAATAATACTGTTTTGTTTTTTATCATTCTAATAATTTAACTCTATAAAATATTGTTTTAGCACACATTTAAAAAAAGTATTAAAATATAATAAAAAATATAAAGTTTCTTTTTTCTTTATAAATGTTTACCCAATTCAACCTTTTTCTTAAAAGTTTTTTCAGCATTATATATAAAACCATCTAATATCCCAGCTACTGTAAAAATTCCTCCAACTATAGCACATACACCTGTTAAAAAATGTGTAAAGCTTTTACTTTCTTCACGGTTTATAATTAACATTGGAGAAATTTCATAATTAAAAAATACACCTATAAAATAACAGATGCTATTTGAATTTAATTTCTTTTTTTGAATAAATTTCTAAAAACGCTTACCTGGTAAGCCACTTATGTGACTATGTGAATGTGTGTGATCTCTACCGGTTAAATCACGTTCAAATTGTGTCACAGAATATTGATTTGTGTAAATAGCGGTCTCATTAAGAAAATAGAAGTGTGTAGACACTACTTTAAGAAAATACTGAAACATGTAATGTCCTAAAAAGCAATAATTATGTCAATTTATTATGTAATGAGATAAATATTAAAATTCCATGAAATACCTTTAGTAACAGCTCCACCAACACCGTCCAAAGGATTTACCACACCATCAACTTTAGGACCAAAGCTCAAATGATGAATCTCGTGCGTAAAATCATGTTGAACACCATCACTTAAGAAGGGTTGTAAATCATGAACATGAACATGATTTTGCTGAAAACTTTTACCAGGTGCAAGATGGAAGTTTCCAGCTACTTTATTTACTCTGACACTACCAGCTACATTACAACCTTCTTTTGATTGTTCAGCTACTTTATCTTTCCAACCTTCCCTAACGCACTGACAAATGAAAATGATTAACTCAGTTAGAAAACTTGGTTACATAAATTGCATAAATTAATCTTTATGATTAAATACCTGTTCAATATCATCGGGGTTGTTGAAAGACCATCCAGCTTGAATATAAGCTTCACGAACTTCATCACAAGTGTTACAACATCCACTTTCTGGTGTCGCCCCATAACAACTACCGCAATAATTCTCACCGCCTGGAGCTGTGTTATTGACAATCTTTATTATATCTTTTGTAGGATCACCAATATCTATGTAAAAAAGAATGAAAATATGAGAATAAAATATTTATTAGAATTATAAAAAAAGTCCCAATTTCTTGGCCATAAACCGAAGAATGAAAATATTAATCGGATTATATAGTTTAACTGTATAGTCAGCCCTATACCATAATACCTGTGGCTTTCTCAATATGGATTTGAGTTCCGTCGGCATCTAAACGAGTCTTATAAATGTCATGAGTGAGATCATTTTGAGTCTCGCCTGCAACATCCATTACATCAACACTCAAAACTTCAATTTGAGAGAAGTATCAGTAAATCGTAAGATCAATATCAGTAATAATTGTGTGACAACTTACGATAGCATGGCACTTTTGGGAAGGTTATATTGATATTTATCGTTAATTTTTCCTTTCTACTTTTATCTACTACTAATTCAGGTTTTATTTCAGTCACCCTATACTCGTTAAACTCAGACCAAAGCAAGGTAATAATAATAATGGCACTTAAAATAGTTACTAATTGAAATAAAATTTTAAAAAGTGTATTTGATTAGAGTATGAAACGTATACTGAAAAAAAAAGGGGCTAACATACGTGCTGCTCCATAGTATGTTTTAATACGAAAGTCATCGAGAGTTTTAGCGTATGCATCAAAATTTTGAAATTGGCTTAACACTGAACCACGTTTTCCCATTGTAAGAAGAAGAAAGCGAAAATACTCAACACGAATGTTGGAAGAATGTTATTGGTCTGATAGTGGTTAATTAAATTGCTGCTAATAAAGTATCAGATCTGTTGCACAAACTGATCAAAAATGGGGATCCTAGGGTCCACTAAAGCGGGGCAATTTCACATAGTGATCAACATGCATCAGTAATCAAATTGCGAATTTCTAATAAAAAACATTAAGTAAAAAAAAACAAGCGAAAGTTTTTAAACGTTCTGCGCTGCGTCGAACAGTTTTAAATCAAACTGAACTTCGAAAGCGCTGTCAATTGAGTATGCGCTAGTATAGAATACCTTTTCTACAATCATTTGAAATTTGTGAAACTTCAAATTTCCAATAAAGGCTAAACTTAAAGTTCTAAAAAAGCAAATTTAGTAAGGCAACGTAGTACTAAATGTAAACGATTATTTTAAGCGTTAATTAATTGAATATACACTACGTAGCGCTAGTAAAAATGTTGAGAAGGCAATTTTACATATAACACCAGCTTACCCTAGCTCTCTAGTTCTAATTTTTTTCTCTTTTTGGGGTTTTTAGGAATCGTTTAAAGAAACCGTAATCTTTGACCAATCAACTTTCAAGATCACTTTCTGCAAAAAAAACTCAAAATTTTAATTAAGAAACCCTCTTCTGCGACCTAACTAAAAATGTTCCTCGTGAAATTTTACTATTAGATATTAAGTCCTAATCCCAATCCCAACCCTAAATATAGCGCAATTTTATTGACAGGGGTTCCCTAGCCTGAAACTGATTGAAAGCTTCCAATCAATAACATTGCAATTATCTTTGAATGTGATTGGCTGATAAAATTCTTAAATTGCATATTTTAGAGAACCTAATCTCAAATATGAATTCGAGACAAATATTGAAACTTTTTGTTCAAGTGAAACCTGTTAGCGAGAACAAAAATTTGCGTGCTAAAAAGAGGGTATACTTAAATGTGGAAGTCTTACGTGAGAGCAATATCCGTACTGGTGATTACATTTTTGTCAAGAAAAATGAATCTACGTCTGAGGTGTGAATCGGATAAGATAGATCTTGAATTCATTTAAATTATTATTTCCACACGTATCAAAGTTAAATAACCCCTTTTAAAAAAAAAAGATAATCGTTATAGGAATTGCCTGGCCGTCGTTCACAATAAGAAAAGATCGTACGTTATTTTTTTCATATTATTATGCCACATTATTGGATTTCAATTTCTCTTAAAAAAGTTAAATGTCGGATCTCGTTCACACATCAAAGAAATACAATTAAATCCTCTGCAATGTGAAAATGCTGATCTTCAAATTGGTGACTCTGTTTCTATTTCTCGAATTAACTGCGCAATTATAAGGGCTTCAAAAGTTGTCTTGGAATCGCTTGGAGTTATAGACATTCCAATTGATCAGATGTTGAATATATTTGCAAAAGAAACCTTGAGTATGTGCTGCTTTTCATATATATATTTATATATATGTATATACATTCTTATTTTATTTCATTTTCTTTGATATATTTCACACGTAGTTGACACTAAATATTCAATAAAAGGAAGTCGTATTGAGTTTCAATATCATGGGATGATCAGGTCGTTTCGCGTTGTTAATATTATCCCTATGAAAGAATTCACAAAGGGTAGTGTGGAAACGGTCATCTATTCAATTACAAAAGAAACGGCTATTACTATCTTACCAAATGTAACTATAATTTCATGGCTAAAGTGTTACCTATTGTTTTGATTGTAAATAAACATTTTGACTTAAACATAAGGAAAATGCGAAAATCGATGACTCGACGAAGATTAATAAAATCGGGTACGATAGCATTGGAGGATTATCTGAACAAATTCGAATAGTACGCGAGATGGTTGAGAACTCATTAAACAACCCCGAATTATTTACGCAGTATGGTAAGATAAATTTTATTCTTGCAAATTAACGATACGCTTGTTAACCAATTTTTTTTTATTAGGACTGCGACCACCAAAAGGGATACTCTTATATGGTCCTCCTGGGACCGGTAAAACATTGATTGCACGTGCTGTCGCTTCAGAAACTGAGGCGCATGTGATATGTGTGAACGGGCCAGAAATAACGAGCAAATTTTATGGAGAAACTGAAGCGAAGGTCTATTCTTCATCATTTAGTTATCATTAGTTTAATCGTTGGATTAATATTGAACCTGCCTTATGTTAGTTAAGAGATATATTTAATGAAGCGGTCGAGAATGCTCCATCAATCATTTTTATTGATGAGATTGATGCATTATGTCCCAAACGTGATGAGGTAACAAATTCTAGATATTTGTAATAAATTTCTTTGATATGAATACTAATTTGTTTGTTACAAAGGTTAGCAATGAATTAGGAAAACGTATTGTAGCAACTCTCTTGACATTAATGGACGGTATTTTCAATAAGAAAATTGTCGGATTGCAAGATCGAATAATAGTCATTAGTGCAACAAATCGCCAAAATGCAATAGACGAAGCGTTGAGAAGGCCTGGAAGGTTTGATCGTGAAATAGAGATTGGTATGCATTTATTTGGCTAGGGTAAAATATGTATTTGAGATCATTGTCGAGTTATAATTCATATAGGATAAATATTCAAGGAATTCCAAACGCTACGTCTCGCTTTTCCATATTATTGACACTATTACAAAAAGTACCACATATCTTATCTCCTGAAGACATTAATGGGCTAGCAATTAAATTACATGGGTATGTTGGAGCTGATCTTGCAGCCGTTTGTCGAGAGGCAGGATTGAAGGCAGTCAAACGGTGTGTTAAACATTGTCAACAAAGTGAGTGCTGTCATGTTGCTATATTGTGGTGATCAATTAAATCAAATCAACGTGGCAGCTGATGCTAAGATTTAGGGTTCTTGTTTAAACATATAAAAACATACCAAAATCTATTTATACTCTTTTATTAATAAATTCAATCCTGAATCCCTAAAAAGAAAAGAAAATACACTCCAAAAATTTAAAAATTTTATATTAAAATAAGTCCTGATTTTGGTCAACCAATTTCAACATCAGCTGTCACAAATCATTATACTTTTTCAATTGTTTATATATATTCATATTCTTTCAGTAGAGGATGTCAAAATTACCATACAAGACATGGAGGCCGCGATAGGTGAAATTCGGCCTAGCGCTATGAGAGAGGTAAGGATGAGATGCATTTATATCTAATGAATAACGTTCGTATTGATAAATTTCCAATTTAAAGATCCTCCTTGAAGTACCTAAAGTTTATTGGTCGGATATTGGTGGTCAAAAGGAAATTATACAAAAATTAAAAGAATCAATTGAATGGCCTTTGCAACATCCCGAAGCATTTTCTAGGCTTGGTATAAAACCACCGAAAGGAATTTTGCTATACGGGCCTCCGGGCTGTAGTAAAACTTTAATGGCTAAGGCTCTGGCTACAGAGGCAGGTTTAAATTTTATTGCCATAAAGGGTCCTGAGGTATGACGATATCAAATGACTTTAAATAGCCAATAATAATTAGACGCTCAACTCAGTTCAAATTCTATCATTAGCTATTTAGCAAATGGGTGGGCGAATCAGAGAAAGCTGTTCGAGAAGTATTTCGTAAAGCTCGTGCTGCTTCGCCTTCGATAATCTTTTTTGTAAGCTGTCATTATATATGTTCATTGTTATTATTCTTATTTTATTAAATTCAGAGTAACAATTAATTTCGCAGGATGAAATAGACGCTCTTACGGTTAAGCGTGGTACTAATAGTGATGGCGGAATTTCGGTTGCAGATCGCGTTTTATCACAATTGCTAAATGAACTAGATGGTATTGAGCCGTTGGTGAATGTGACAGTGGTAGCAGCAACCAACCGTCCAGATATTATTGTACGCATCCCCTTTTTTTTTTCTGTTTTAAAAACTTTATTTGTTTCATTGATAAATTTAATAATGTAGGATAATGCTCTGTTAAGACCTGGACGTATTGATCACATATTATATGTAAGCCCGCCAGACTTATCGTCTAGAAGAGAAATTTTTCGAATTCAATTGAAAAAAATGTCATGCACCATGGACGTTGATATTGAAGAATTAGCAACTGAGGTATGTATTTAATGACTAGTGTTTCTGGCGAATCCGAAATATTTATAGGGACGAAATTTAAAAAAGTGCAATGCTACTATATATTTTCGGGTTAGACCAAAATTATTTCTTAATAGCGAAACATTTCGGGCTTTGAAAAGTAATTTAGCCCGAAACGTTTTATATAGTTGCGTCAAGGGAAACCTGTTATCGGGCACCGGACACAATTCCTAATTAATTAAATAGATTATGTCCGGTACAAAATATAATTGAAAGCCCGATGAAGATGGCACTCATATAATGCAACATCGATGTCCGAGTACGGCAAAAATACCATTCACGTGATGTGTTTATATAATGACGAAATGTGGGATTAGTGTTTGTAATCGATTTTGCAGAAGTCAATAAATAATGGTCAACTACAAACATTATGTGGGATGGCTAAGGCCAGGTACACTTAATATTGATTAACGCAGGATTAGACTGGGACTTTAAACGTTCATGAACGTTATTTAGAATAATGTCCTGATTAAATTTGAAATTACACCCCTACGCGTTATTTCACGAAAATACTGTAGTAGGTAAAAATGTCAGGCATTTTGTTTTTTCATTTTTTTTTATCGTTTCTTTTCGTCTTTGTGTACCTGGCTTTGGTCAAGTATATATATCTATCTAAGGATGGCAAAAAACATTTTATCGTTTTAAAAAAAATGTGATGTTGAGAATCTAAATATGCTGAATCCTCAATTTAATGTATTCAGATCATAATCATCATGGGTTTTAAATGATAAAAAAATTTTTTTACTATTCTTATATATATATATATATATGTATATATCTGAAGATGTCCTGCCAATAATTCTTGATCCATTTTTTAATTTCCTTATTTGGAAGACCTGCATCGAAAAAAATGCGAGAAAGATGAAAAATACAAAATACGGGGTCTAAATCTACTTGAGACACAAATAAAAGATGTCAAGATAGTAATTTTCCTTTAAACTTGCCCAACCCTACCCTTAAATTAGCTTTAACCCTATTCGACATTTCCAAATAAGAAAATTTGAAAATGGGTAGGTAAAATTGGTCTAAGATTTAGCACGTGAAATACTTTTTCCGTAACATTCCTGAAATGTTACGATTGTACTAACATTACAATTTATTGTTACGACTGATGGCGATTGGCTGATGCTGAAATTTGGACTTATTTTAATATGAAACTTAAAAGAACTTTAGATATTTTTTTTTAGTTTGTTAGAACTAGGACTTAGTTATTAATAAAATAGTTATATTTATAAATTGTGACCCCAAACTTCAGCATCAGCCAATTTCAGCATCAGCCGCAAATTTATTATTCGCAAACATAAGACAGATGGATGCTCAGGTGCTGAAATTATATCAATTTGTCAGGATGCAGCTTTATGTGCAATGGATGAGAATCTTGAAGCAAAAGAGGTTAGTTTAATATTAATAATTATTAAATTCTATTTGTTTTAAATATTTGAATTGAATTAAATCTACACATAACAGGTGCGTCGGGAACATTTCATGAAGGCTTTGTCGTCTTTTACACGCCGTATCACGCCAGAAATGATCCAATTCTATGATAAATTTCGTCAAAAATCTGGGTTACGCAATATTTAATCGGCAAATTTCTATTATAGAAATTAATATACAGAATTTTTTCTTTGCATAAAATTTAACCAGGAGATATGTTTGTGTTTGATTAAATATGTTCTAGGTTGTATAATTGTTAAAATATGTTATGACGTAAAATATTACAGATTTTTAAATCTAGCTTGTAATCGTTAATATTTTTTTTTTAGAATTTTTATTAGTGCCTCGTGTAGAAGTTGGAACCGATTTTATTTATACAATTAGGATTTAATTTTTTTTACCGTTACTTCGAATCAAATCCAGGTTTAAATAAATCCGGATAATTCGGTTTTGTGATTTTACTGTCTGTAATAAACTCGTAAAACCGAATCAACCTGAATTTAAAAAACCGGGTTTACGGTTGTAATTTACAGTGAAACCCTCTATAAATGCACCCTCTATAAATGCTCACCCTCTCTAAATGCACACCCTCTCTAAATGCACGCTCAATCTCTGGCCCAAATATATGCATGACCTTTATAAATGCACCTTTTATTATTGTTCTCTAAATGCACGTTGCTAAAGTTCAGTCCCAAGAGCGTGCATTTATGGAGGTTTCATTGTATATCATTATCTCTATAGCGTCCAAATCAAAAACTTTCGAATTGGCCAAATAATCATTCAGTCACTAAATTACAGCTGCCTTCATGACCGAATCAACGGAAACTTATCAATTCGGTCATCAGCAATTTTTTCAGTTGTTCCAAAATTTATAAAAACAGGTGTAAATCTGATTTTTCAAATAATCTGGTTATTGAATCCGATTTTCTTCTGATTTTATTACAGCTGTTTTCGTTATCTTTGGGACATTTGGACTGGATGATCATTTATCGTTATATATCTTTGTTAAATTACGCTGTGATGAAGTATACTACCGAAGTAACTACACTATTATTATCATTTTAATGTTTAAAATCATTGCAATAAACTAAAAAAAGGTCACTGTCTAGTTACTTTTCACCGACCTATTTTATCATCTCGGTTAATTTTTGCAATTGTACTAAAACAGATATAATTTGACACCTTTTTTAAATCTTAAATAACTTTTGATCCACTGGACCGTTTTTAATGAAACAGCTACCAAAATGTTCTTCACATCGAGACGATTCTAACGAGCCCAAAATTGTCAAACCCAATCATTGGATCACAAGATCGCTAAAGTTTTTTACGAGGATGACGCACCTATAATAATAATGTGGGTAATCGGTTAGATGCGGTCTAACCGATTACCCCACATTATAGGTGCGTCATCCTCGTAAAAAACTTTAGCGATCTTGTGATCAATGATTGGGTTTTGACAATTTTGGGCTCGTTAGAATCGTCTCGATGTGAAGAACATTTTGGTAGCTGTTTCATTAAAAACGGTCCGGTGGATCAAAAGTTATTTAAGATTTAAAAAGGTGTCAAATTACATCTGTTTTAGTACAATTGCAAAAATTAGCCGAAATGTTTTTACTAAATAATATTTTAAAAGCGTATTCGTTATTGCTTCAGACAAGTTGGATGTTATATTTGCTACGTTAGGCAATTTAGATTTTTCAAAATTCAACAGTGGTTACTTCAGATAAGCTATGCAAAAATATTTGCTAATTTTCTTTTGAATAATAATTTTGTTGATTATAATTATCATGCAGTTTCATTGTAATACCGTTCAGAAAATACTATTGCTATGAATTAAAAATACATATCGTTTTATTACTAATCGCACCCAAATCAAAAAGCTTATCGAGTAATTATTCGGTCAATCCAGATGTCCCAAATTCGGTTGATTTTTCGGGTTTATTAAATTCGATAAATCCGGTTTTATTACAGCTGTTTTCATTATTTTTGGGACATCTGGTAAAAAATTGACCGAATGATTATTTGGCCGATTCGATTGATTTGGGTATGATTAGCAATTTTGCGATTGTATTCTGAACGATACTACAATGTTAACACATCCAAAATTAATTTTTCGCTTGAATCTGTACGAAAATTTATGACGAAGATTATTCTTACCAAGCAACAGATTTGACAAAAAACAAAAAGGTTTCTAAATATAAGCTTTCATAATAAATATATTACACAAGGAGGCGCTAATAAAAAAAAAGTTCGAAATGAACAAGAGTTTAGTGACCGGACTAAAGAAAATATAACTCAGGTTGTAATTCCAAACCAAGTTTTTATTAATATTTATTGAAAATATTGAAACGGTTAATCTAACAACTAAGGAACCTCTAGCCTGTCGTCTATAGTAAACACTGGAGTGCTGCAAAGCGAAAACCTGTAATTGTGAGTTTTCCGAAATTAGTTTTACAAATCAAACCCCGAAAAACACAATATAATTTATGTTATGTTTAATTTAAATTTATCAGGAGTCGGATCTGAAAGCGGAGCCGGCAAAAACCTAAATTCCAGGTTTTCGCTTTGCAGCACTCATTTTAAAAATGCCTAGTTTGTTTGAAATTGAAATATCCAACTTGTCTGAAGTAATAGCAACTGAATCTAGTATAATCCGAAGCGCAAAAATAGTGATATCGAAATACATTATCTTTGTCATTAGAAAGATATGTGCATTGTGCAATCGCTCATTACTGAAGTCAAATCCGAATATATCAAATATTCGAATCGGGTTGAACCGGTTTTAAATTCGGGTGCAACAATTCGGTTCCAACCTCTAGCCTCGCCAAATAAGTGTAAAAGATTAAAGTTAAAACTTCAATTACGTTTTGTGCTAATAATATACTGTATACAAACTTTTAAAAAAGAAAAATTTTTACGTAGCAATAATTTCTTAATAGAATAAAAATAATTAAGCATGATGGAAATTGGTTTTGATTGGTCATCGATTTTGATCATCAGATTGAATATGATTGGCCAATGAATCGTAAATCATTATAAAATTTTTATTAGTAATATAGCAACTTTTAAAGTAACTTATGTAATAAAAAAATTTTTTTTATTAGTACATTCTTCATACCCTTACGGGTCTTTTAAAACTTTCAGATCAAGTTAGATCAAGTATTTAAAGGTAGCTGGCTTATACGTGAAAGGTGACGAAGGTATGAACGCTATAGTAGTTACTTTAACTTCTACAACTTAGAAGGTAAGAAATTTAGTGAGACACACTTATATAATGCTTTATTACCATTTATCTACATCTTCTAATGCATTTTGTAATTTTAATACATCTCTTTTATCTCTTTTTTAAATAAACTTATGCTCCTCTGTGTCATCTTCTGTCTCTTCGGGATCTTGAAATAAATTAAGTTCGTATTAATATTGGTAGGATTATGGACTGAATTATTGTTGTAAATTATTGGAATTGGTGCACATTTAGTAATTTTTTTACTGACGCATGTTGAAAATGAATAGGTGCAGAAAGAACTACGGTATCCAGATGTCTTATTCCATATATGTTGTAGTAATCGTTGATATTATATACGAAAAAGCTATTTATCTAATATTAAAAACATTAAAAATTTAGGATAATTATGTATTATGGCTAGAGGTGTGAACACAATGCTGTAACTATAATAAATTACAGTATTTTTTACCATAACTCATTATAATTACAACAAATTACGGCGTTGCATTCACATCTCTATGGCTACAGAATTTTAAACTAATTTTGTAAATTCGAATTTCATTATTATTATTTTTTTTTATATTTTTATTTATTTTATTTTTTATTTATTTATTTTATTTTTTATTTTTTTTATTATTATTATTTTTTTTTTACTTTTATTTTTTATAATACTTACTTTTTCAACAAAGTATTTTCGAATATTTTCCGGATATGTAGCTACAATTTTTTTTCTGTAGTTTTTGATGGTCTTATAACAAACAGTAATACCTGCACTATGTATTGCATTAATTGCATCACAAGAAGCACCTGATGCTACTAAATATAATCCAATTTCCAAAGAATAGTTATTTACAAGTCTATTACGTATTGCTGCAATTGAGTAACATATACTAATCACTTTTTTTTATCTTCTTTTCTATTATAAGCTGACCGTCTTTCTGGAATAAATGCGTTATAAAGCTCATCAAAGAATCCTACCAATTGTGGCTCAGCATCCTCAAGCATTGCCTGAAAACGATCTGGGTTTAATTCTAGTGTGTTATTTTCTTTTCTTTGTTTTTCGTATAACACCCTAGCCATTAAAATAATTTTTTTTCCAAATGATAATGGTTTTCTAATGATTATGTTATCTTGTTTATTATTATTAGTTGATGATACATTATTGCGATCAGGTTCAACAATCTCAAGGTAATAAGAATAACACAATTGCTTTCCAACTTCTAAATAATTATACTGATTAAAAGTGCCTTTTTCTTTTGCTTTTCTTAGAGCATATTCCATGATTCCGCAGTATTGATTTGGTCTAATCTGGCAATTACAAACTGAACAAGGGCCGAGATTTTTTTTTGTCATGATTTGTAAAAATTTTTTTAAAATTTCAATTCTTTGAAAAAAAGCGTTTATTTATTAAACAATTAATTTTTTTTGTTCCATATTACTACTTAAAATAACTTATATATTACTTTAATTAATACTACTGAACGTGTTACCCCTGAAATATTTTAATTAGGTACACGAAGAGTCGCCTTAATTTATTTATAAAATATATGCCCAAAAATAAATGATAC